TGTCTATTTTACATGTTTTATTACTTTTCAGATTTTGTTCAGAAAATCCTTTTGGGGATTTTCTTCATGCTTCATCTAATAATAAGTTTCCTATATCTAAGTGCGATTCTAGAAAATGACAAAGGTAAGGAAAACCTTTAACTGTAAGGAAACCATTTGATTGTAATAGAGCTTTAATTGTCAGCAACTTTTGGTAAATGATGTTTGTAAAATGTTGATAAGCCTGAAATAATTTTTGGGATGCAGTTAACAGTAATGCACTGTAACTATTTTTATTAAGTCATTAATGAATTACACCTTACTAATAAAGGCATAGACTGTGATGTAATCAATATAAAACAGTCAGTAATACATTCTGTGTAAACTGTAAAAAGGATACTTCCAACGGTGGAGCAGTTTAGTTTAATTTGTTCTGTGTGTCTTCAGAGATGAATTTACTGATTTTATAGGAACAGGAAGTTGTTCATTTCATGAATATCCCTTGTTGTATTTAACAGAAATTAACTGCAACTATTTCTGACCACAGGACAACCTGTAAAGATCTGCGAGTTTGTGTTTGTCTACATTCTGAGTGTCACAACACTCTTTGTATTCTGGGAGCGGGGACATTTAATTGGTTTGTATTTGTTTTACTATAAAATCATTTTTAAAAAACATTTTCATTGATGAGGTGTTTAAATATTGTTTTATAATTATTTTTTTATATTTTAACTAAAATATTATGATTTCTTTTTTTAATTTGTAAACACAGCATTATTTTTTATTTAATTAAGGAAAATACCCAATGGCTGTTTTATTGTATATACAGTGCTTTGACAAAGTAATTGGTCGCTCAATCAACTAATTAACAAAATCTAAATGGTAATTGGTTAAATTAAACTAGACACACCCAGGCTTGATTGTTGCCAGCCCTGATGAATTTACATATCATAACTTTTTGCACAACCCATTGCACTGTTGCACTTTACACTTAGCTTCTCTTACACATTATCTCTTCTATTGTGTTGCACTGTATTTGCAATGTTTGCACTATTTGCACACTTGCACTTTATGTAGTCCTGTGTTGATGTAGTGTTATACAGTATGTAGCACCATGGTCCTGAAGGAACGTTCTCTCATTTCACTATGTACTGTATCACTGTGTATCATTGAAATGACAATAAAAACCACTTGACTTGACTTGACATCACTTAAATAGAACCATTGCAGCAATGTGGAGCTGGATAAGGGGTCTCAAGAAGCATGACACCATACCTTAATCAGAAGTTCCTGTGAGAACCATCATCTTCAGATGAAAAAACTTGGAAAAATGGCAAATCTGCCCAGGAGTGGCCGGGATAGCAGAATTACTCAAGGAGTGAATAGAAACCTCATCAGGAAAGCTGCAGCAGACCCCTCTGTCAGATCAGTTAATGTCTGCATTCATGATTCCATGATTAGAAAGACACTGGGCAAACATGGGACAGTGGGAGAGTTACAAGGCAGAAACCACAGCTAAATGAGAAGAACATGAAGGCTCGTCAAACATTCATCAAAAAGCACCTTGATTATCTCCAGCACTTTTGAGAGGATGTTCTGTGGGCTGATGAGTCAAAAGTGGAGCTATTTGGAAGGCATGGGTCCTGCTACATCTCGCGTAAAGCTAACACAGCTTCCACACAAAGAACATCATGGCCACAGTCAGACATGGTGGAGGCAGTGTGATGCTGTGGGGATGCTTTGCTGCTGCACTGCTGTAATTGAGGGACGCGTGAATTCAGCTGTCTGCCAGAAAGTACTGAAGGAGAAGGTTCAGTCATCAGTCTGTGATCTGAAGCTCGAACACAATTAAGTTATGCAGCAGGACAATGATCTGAACCACAAGAGCAAGTCCATCTCTGAATGGCGGAAAAGAAAAAAGAACAAAATTAAGGTTTTGGAGTGGCTGAAATACCGAAAATGTTACACCTACCGAAAATGTAACTTCCGCTACTACGCATGCGCACATTCATCACGCAAGCATCCACGAAATTTCCGGCACTTCTTTATTACGCATGCATAATGTACACTTCCACAGGCCCAATACTGCGCATGTATTCACATTTTG